ATGTGAGGATCACCTGAGCCCAGGGAGTTCAAGGCTGCAGTAAGCTGTGACCGTGCCATTGCTATTCAGCCTGGGCGACAGAACAAGACTCTCAAAAAACAAAAATCAAGCAAGCAAGCAAGCCTAGGCCAGGCACAGTGGCTTAATCTGTAATTCCAATACTTTAGGAGATCCACGCATAAGGATCACTTAAAATATTACATGGGAATGGTGGTGCATGCCTGTGGTTCCAGCTACTCCGGAGGCTGAAGTGGGAGTTCACTGAAGCCCAAGAGTTCAAAGCTGCAGTGAGCTCTGATGGCACCACTGCACTCAAGCCTGGGCACCAGCGAGACTATCTCAAAAAATTAATTCAAAAAAAAAAAAAAAAAAAAAAAAAAAAAAAAAAAAAGCAAGCCCATGGGGGCACACGGTCTCAAGGTCTCCTGGGGGCTATGTCACTAGCCAAAAAAAAAAAAAAAAAAAGCAAGCCTATGATCCAAGCTTCCAAACAAGTCAGCCACCCCCAGGGGAAGGAATCTAGCATTGTATTTATAAACAGTAAGTTTTAGGGAGAAAATTTTTAAATGTTTAAAACATTTTAAGCCACACTGCCAACTGTCTTTGGAGATGTTAGAGCTGGGTCTGCGTTCTGGCTGTCACTTCCTGTGTGACCCTGAGCAAGAAAATTACTTAACCTCTAATGCTGTCTCCTCATTTTATAGATGATGCGCTAACTACATATTCACAGGGCTATAGGATTAGATTAAGGTAAGAAGCATGGTGCCTGGCACAGTAGATGCTCAGTAATGGTGGCTGTTACTGGCTAATCCCAAACTCAGCATAAGCCAATAGTATGACAAGACTTACATTAGCGGTATGCGGATTTAGGGAGACTGTTGCCTCTCTAGCCTATTTTGTCTCCTTTTGATCACATTCAGCATTTAACACTTGCACAAGTACCATAGCTCACCCTAGAGGTTTTAATGGTCTGGGATGGGGCCAGGCTTTGGGAGTTTGCATAAGCTTCCCAAGTGCAGCCAAACTTGAAGACTACATTCTATTATATGAAGCACAAGTGAAGTTATGAAAGGCAGACTGTTCTAGATGAAAAGTGGCCAAAGAGAAAAATGCCACCATGATCTTAATTATATCTTGGGTTGGGGAGGCTATAGAAATCATTTTGAAAATTTTAGCCGGGCACGGTGGCTCAAGCCTGTAATCCCAGCACTTTGGGAGGCCGAGGCGGGTGGATCACGAGGTCGAGAGTTCGAGACCATCCTGGTCGACATGGTGAAACCCCGTCTCTACTAAAAATACAAAAAATTAGCTGGGCATGGTGGCTCGTGCCTGTAATCCCAGCTACTCAGGAGGCTGAGGCAGGAGAATTGCCTGAACCCAGGAGGCGGAGGTTGCGGTGAGCCGAGATCGCACCATTGCACTCCAGCCTGGGTAACAAGAGCGAAACTCCGTCTCAAAAAAAAAAAAAAAAAGAAAATTTTAATATGAGCTGCATTATTAGATACTGTGGCATTGTTACTTTTGTCCTAATGATATTGTGGCTACATAGAACATCTGTAGTATAAAAAGAATGCTCAACTGTTTAGGGGTGAGATATGATGTTTGCATCCAACTTTCAAATGGTCATGACACTGTGTATATAGAAAGAGAAAGCACACACAGCAGATACTAAACACCAGCAAAGAAAAGGGTATGCAATGTAGTTTCTTACTTTTTTAACTTTTCAATATATACATAAACTTTTAAAAATAAAAACTCATACTAACACTGGTCACCATGCTGTGAATTATGTGATGGCTAAGCCCACACTGGCTATTAAGGCATCACTGCATTCCTATTGTATGGTTCTCCTGTTCATAGAACACTCCGTGCTGCTGTCTCACGTGTCTACACAAAACAACACAAGAAAAACTGTAAGGCCTACAGAAAAATGGGTTTAGGTGCGCAACGCTAAAAATCTTTGTGACACATAAAAAGGTAGCAGTTTCAAACATGTCAATGGTTAAGAAATATATAAAGCAGTCTCCCTTGACCTGCAGTTTGCAGGGAGAAACCCACGGGACCACCCACTCAGCTCCCACACCCACCACCCTATGTTAAGAGGAAGAGAACAAAAGATAAGACAAAGCGAGAGAAAAGATAGAAAAAAAAGCTTGGTGGCTCATGCCTGTAATCCCAACACTTCGGGAAGCTGAGGCAGGCAGATCACTTTGAGATCAGGAGTTTGAGACCAGCCTGACTAACATGGTGGAATCCCGTCTCTACTAAAAATACAAAAATTAGCCAGGCTTGGTGGTGTGCACCTGTAGTCCCAGCTACTTGAGAGGCTGAGGCAGGAGAACTGCTTCAACTTGGGAGGCAGCGGTTGCAGTGAGCCAAGGACTCCAGCCTGGGTGAGAGTGAGACTCCATTTCAAAAAAGAAAAAAAAAAAAACAAAGATTAGAAAATATACAAATGAGGCTGAAAGGAAAAAGGAGAATAAAGAGGGGAGTGTGAGGCATAGAGCCACGATGGCCAATAGAAGGGCTGCAGCTTGCAACCATGAGGCACATGGTTCTCTGGCATCAGATGGGAGGTGGTACACTACAAAGGGACCTGTGCCTGTGTGTTCCTATGCAGCTCAGTTCAACTGGATGTGCTTTTGTGTTCACCTAATGCTTCCCATAGGCAAAATTACACTTAATTCATTATGCTCAGAGCATGCTAGCAGAACTGCCCCTCCACCAAGGGTGCTGACTTGGCCCTCTCCTCAACCCTAGACCACAGGCCTGCTTATATCCCTCCTGATTTCTACCGAACGCTAAGCTCTAGCACTGCTCCCTCCAAAGTGATCCTTCTTTAAAGGCAGAGGATATCAGTATGTCAAGCTAGGGAAGTAAATATTGGTAGTTTATTTTCAGTTCCCAAGCAGGTCACCTGGAAAGGGCTCATGGTCTAGGCAAGCTGTGTGGCGGCCACTATTTACCAAGAATGAAAAAGGCCTGCCATTTCCACCTCCCAACTCTGAGTAAAAATGCTTTTCAACTTTGTGATCAGAAAGAAATGATAAGCCCAATATGCAAGATTTTTCCACCACCATTTGTCCAAAGACAAAGAGGTTTTTTTTGTATCAATCTTGATGTATTTATTCACACATTTGATAAAAATGTCACAGGAGTGAAATCATTACAATGACATGAGTAACTGTACAGGCAGACCCCAAATGCAGAATCAACTTTCCATCAGCCAGAACATGGAGCAACCGTAACTCCTTTGTACCTGTGCATGTGTGCGCACATGCATGCACACACACACATACTCTCTGTCTCATGCACACATCCATCCACACCCCAACAATCACAGGTGCTAAGTTTGGACATAACCCAGGGACTCTTCCCTGGCTTCTGTCAGGTCCTGGGGAGAAGAGAGAAGCAATTTATGAAACGCAGCTGCGACTGCTCGATGCCTCTCTCTGCTCTTCCAACAATGACTCTGAGAAGGCAAGACATACACTGGGGCAGCTACTTCCTTGGCACAAAAATGAACAGGCAACAATAAGGTCAAGGAAGGGTTTAAGTTAGTCTCAAGTTTAAATCACTTTTATTTATTTAAGAGATGGGGGTCTCCGGTGGCTCAAGCCCGTAATCCCAGCACTTTGGGAGGCCGAGGCGGGTGGATCATGAGGTCAAGAGATCGAGACCATCCTGGTCAACATGGTGAAACCCCGTCTCTACTAAAAATATAAAAATTTGCTGGGCATGGTGGCGCGTGCCTATAATCCCAGCTACTCAGGAGGCTGAGGCAGGAAAATTGCCTGAACCCAGGAGGCGGAGGTTGCGGTGAGCCGAGATAGCACCATTGCACTCCAGCTCGGGTAACAAGAGCAAAAACTCCGTCTCAAAAAAAAAAAGAGATGGGGGTCTCGCTATGTTGCTCAGGCTGGAGTGCAATGGATAGTCACAGGCGTGATCCCACTACTCATCAGCACGTGAGTTTTGACCTGCTCCATTTCCAGCCTGGGCCGGTTCAACCCTCCTTAGGCAACCTGGTGGTCCCCCGTTCCCAGGAGGTCACCATATTGATGCCGAACTTAGTGCAGACTCCCAATCGGCATAGCACACTACAGCCCAGAACTCCTGGGCTCAAGCAGTCCTCCCACCTCAGCCTCCCAAGTAGCTGGGACTATAGGCACACACCACTGTGCCTGGCTATATCACTTTTCAACACCACAAAACAGTAGCAAGCAGACCAAACAAAACTTAAAAAACAAAAACAAAAAAACCTCTGGCCATCAAGACTCCAGAAGAACGGGACGGAGGAGGATTTAAAACTTGATCCTTACTTATTCTCCTAACAAACTGCAGCATGACCATAAGCAAAACCAGCCGGGCCTAACTGACAGCATCGATTGTGAATCTATCCTATTCCGGCTCTGCAAAGAGTAAGAAAAACTTTTTAGAGAAACACGACGGTAACATAAACCACATCTCCACTATATTAGTATTTGCAGCAAGATTACATCTATGCATTCAAACAGCTTGTCTATAGATCTGAGAGCTCCAAGAGTGGCCCAACCCCCATTCCTCCACCTTTACCATTCTGAAAAGAACAAGTCAAACCTGAAATGTGAAAAATAATGTCTGTATCAAAATGGTGACCCTTTCTATACAATGGGACTAAGGTAGAATTCCACTCAACTCCTCAACTCCTTCATTTTGACATAAAATTAAAAAATTTTTAAACTAAATTTAAAGGCAATGTTTTGGGCATCAAAAAGCTACTATCTAAAATGATTAGTCTCCCAGTGCTCTTGGTAAATAGGGAAGGTTAGGAAGGAGGAAATGATCCAATGAATATAGAAGAACTGGCTGATTCAAAGGAAACTGCTTTGGATAAGGTGAATCAATGGGTGGTATTGTGCAAGCAAGGAGGGAAATTTCTTAGTACAAATTTCATGTCACTGGCCAGGCATGGTGGCTCACACCTATAATCCTAGCACTTTGAGAGTCAAAGGCAGGAGTTCAAGACCAGCCTGGGAAACATAAGGAGACTCCAACTCTACTTAAAAAAAAATTAATAACAACTTCATGTCCCTAGAGATAAAAGCAAGGTGCAGACAAGGCACTTAACACAGCCAAGTATCATTCACACCCATTGACATCAAGACTGTTACCAAGAGTACTCCCAGTAGCCCCTCATTTGAGAGACTTAACCGGCCAACTACACTTTCCAGGTGGACCTGTAGAACTAAAGGAAATCCAAAGCGCTGCACAATTGATGGGATTTGGAATGTCAACAGAGGAAACTACTCAGAGAAGCAAATGGAGGTCATCCCCTTCTGGCCTGAGGTGAGAGGTTTGTTCCAGATTCGCTCAGTGAGATACCGAATTTCAAAATAGTTGGCCTGAGAATATGACAACACTCCCACAAATGTAGCCTTCTTCTCTTCTGGTAAGAGCAACAGGGCTCTGAATAAAATGGGACATTAGTTACTGAATTATCTTCTTACACTGGAAGTTACAGCAGATGCCTTCTAATACATGTGGCATGTCCCCATCCTGTAGCAGTGATAAACGACTAAGACAGGGCCAGAAGTGCCTGTCCCTTATTATCCCAAAGTCTGTCAGGCATACTCAATCCGAGCAGGGCCACAACTGCCCTCGTTCTTTCGCTCAGAGGACTGGCTGGTGGCCTTGGCTTCACTACTCATTTCCAGAGGCTTAGCCGAGATGTAGTCCTTTACTTTAATCTCCATATTCTTGGCTTTCAGAGTAGCCATGTGCAGCTTCTCCAGGAAATCTGGCATGCCTGTCAGGAGACAGAAATCAGGTTAAGGTAACATATAAACCAACAGTAGGCTCAAAATTAGAAGACCCCATTTTTTTGATGGTAAGGAACTAGCTCTTCCTTATAAAGATCATAGCCTGACTGACAGCCTGTGAATAACAGCTGCCTCCCAGAATGTGTTCCCAAAGCATGGGTTGTAAAAACAACCCATGATCTTTGCTCCTTCTTTGAAAGGAGGTACTACAGGCCACTTAAGTCCCAAAAGGATCTTTTAATCTAAATATCACTTATCAGCGGCATGGCTAAATTATCTGCCAATTTTATTTAGACAAATGTCAAATAGAAACACCTAATCTCTCTGTTCTCCCCCTGAAGCACGTAAGAAGCTGCCTATAGAGAACCAGAAAAAAGAAAATCACAAGGATGCTTTCTCAGACAAGAAGGTGGAAGGGAAAGCTGCAGTTATAGCCATGATGTATAACCTTTATTAAGACAAGTGCCCCTTTCCCCAGGTGACTGCCCTATGATCACCATATTTTCTATCTTATGGCCTTCAACTATTGAAGAAGAAAATGTAAATATGTTAATCTACACAGACCATATTTAAGGCATTGAAGCAAATGTTTTTAAAGCTCTCCTCTGGGTACAAGTTCCTTTCTGGGACCCTATAATTCTCATCCCTTCAATCTCCACCTGGAGTCTTTGCTATCTTCATAGTAATTCAATAATGAACCAGAAAAGGGATGGGCACGGTGGCTCATGCCTGTAATCCCAGCACTTTGGGAGGCCGAGGCACGTGGATCATTTGAGTTCAGGAGTTCGAGACGAGCATGGCCAACATGGTGAAACCTCGTCTCTACTAAAAATACAAAAACTAGCCAGGCATTGTGGTGGGTGCCTATAATCCCACCTACTCAAGAGCCTGAGGCAGAAGAATTGCTTGAACCTGGGAGGCAGAGGTTGCAGTGACCTGAGATCATGCCATTTCCACTCCAACCTAGGCAAGAGAGTGAGACTCCATTTCAAGGGGGAAAAAAAAAAAAGAACCAGAAGAGACGTTTAATTTCCCCAATAGGACTCCAGTGAGACAAGTACTAATCTTGCTCCCATTAAGAAGATAGAGAAAACAAAATGCTTAATCCAGGCCCTGTATACTTGCCCTTACTTACCACTTGAAACCATCCAACTAACACAGTAGCGAGGAAACACTGTTTGGGGATTGTCACTGTATGTCAGTAAGTAGTCAAAGCCATTCTGGAAAAGAAAAACAGCAAAAATGAAGATCCCTGAATCACTCACCACAACCTCCATATCCAATACCATAGAATAACTATAATCTGATTCTGGAGCAGGGAGTGTCATTTCTTTTTTAACCTTGTGCAGAAAAGAGTTAACACCAAAAGCCTGAGACACTACTATCTATAGAAAGACCTGCTTACAATGTTGACCCTTGGCCAACTTGGCTCCCAGAGTGCTCCCAGTCAACAGTTAGCTAAGGCTGGCTCCCTGTACCTAGACTATGCAAACAATATGATTTATCCTGAACACAGGCTTTGCTTTTGGGGGTCTGGAATTCTGGCATGTGCTAAGCAGACGGCACTAAGTAACCAGCTCCCCATAAAAACTTTAGGTGTGAAGTGGGCATGGTGGCTCACGTCTGTAATCCCAGTACTTTAGGAGGCCAAGGCAGGAGGATTACTTGAGGTCAGGCGTTTAAGACAAGCCTGGCCAACATGACAAAACTCCATCTCCACCAAATACAAAAATTAGCCAGCTGTGGTGGCACACACCTATAGTTCCAGCTACTCTGGAGGCTGAGGCATGAGAATTGCTTGAACCGGGAGGCAGAGGTTGCAGTGAGCCAAGATCAGGCCACTGCACTAGAGTCTGAGCAATAGAGTGAGACTCCATCTCACAAAAAAAGCTTTGGGTGGTGGCTGGGTGTGGTGGCTCACGCCTGTATTCCCAGCACTTTGGGAGGCCAAGGCAGGCAGATCACTGAGGTGAGGAGTTCCGGACAAGCCTGGCTAACATGGTGAAATCCCGTCTCTACTAAAAATACAAAAATTAGCCAGGCATGGTGGCACGCATCTGTATTCCCAGCTACTTGGGAGGCTGAGGCAAGAGAATTGCTTGAACCTGGGAGGTGGAGGTTGCAGTGAGCCAAGATCATACTACTGCACTCCAGCCTGGGCAACAGAGTGAAACTCCGTCTAAAAAAAAAAATAAAAATCTATATTTTGTACAGAGTATGCATATCCTGAAGACAAAAAAACATAAAAATTTTTATTTTTCATATTATTTGTGATCACATTATATTGTTATTCTGAGGCTATGTATTTCAACAAATGAGTAGTTAGTTGTGTTAGGGTTCCTGGGAATTGAATTCTACAGTACAGGGAAATATAAAAGATAGAAGACAGAAACAAAAACTCCATAATCCTAAATTTGAATGAAAAGTATTAGTATATACTTAAGATCTGTTTTATCTTAAAAATAAACATATAAGAAAAATGTATTATTACTTGGTTCTATCGTCTGAAAAGGCCTACAAACGATAAACAACCCAGTAGCTCTGAGTACTCTTAGCAGCCAAATTGTGATATTTAAATGCCATGTTCCAATAAAAGGAACTAGGACTCCCTGAAGAAATGTTAATTTCCAGGTTTAAAACTAAAAATATACAAGATGAACCTACAACATCTTGTAACACCAGAAAGCAAGATAGCTTCTAGGGTCACATCAAAGGGCCCTAAGCCAACAAGAAGGTTCCCAATGACTAAAACTAGGATCAATTTGGGCATCACTAAGTACGTTTAAGTCTGTGAGTTTCTTTCTTTTTTTCTTGAGATGAGTCTCGCTCTGTTACCTACACTGGGGTGCAGTGGAACGATGTTGGCACATTGCAATCTCTGCCTCCCGGGTTCAAGCCATTCTCCTGCCTCGGCCTCCTGAGTAGCTGGGATTACAGGCATGCGCCACCATGCCCTGACAATATTTGTATTTTTAGTAGAGATGGAGTTTCACCATGTGGGCCAGGCTGGTCTCAAAATCATGACCTCAAGTGATCTGCCCGCCTTGGCCTCCCAAAGTGCTGGGATTACAGGCGTTAGCCACTATACCTGTGCCTGCCTTTTTTTTTTTTTTTTTTTGAGAAGGGTCTCACACTGTTGCCCAGGCTGGCATGCAGTGGCACAAACATGGCTTACTGCAGCCTTGACCTCCTGGGATCAAGTGATTCTCCCAACCTCAGTTTCCCAAATAGCTGGGACTATAGGAACCTGTCACCATGCCCAGCTAATTTTTATTTTTATTTTTTGTAGAGACAAAGTCTCTCCATGTTGCCCAGCCCAGAGCTGTTTTTAAAATTTCTTATTTGGAGCCAGGCGCGGTGGCTCAAGCCTGTAATCCCAGCACTTTGGGAGGCCGAGGCGGGTGGATCACGAGGTCAAAAGATCAAGACCATCCTGGTCAATATGGTGAAACCCCAGGCCGGGCGTGGTGGCTCAAGCCTGTAATCCCAGCACTTTGGGAGGCCGAGGTGGGTGGATCACGAGGTCAAGAGATCGAGACCATCCTGGTCAACATGGTGAAACCCTGTCTCTACTGAAAATACAAAACATTAGCTGGGCACGGTGGCGCGTGCCTGTGATCCCAGCTGCTCAGGAGGCTGAGGCAGGAGAATTGCCTGAACCCAGGAGGCGGAGGTTGCGGTGAGCCGAGATCGCGCCATTGCACTCCAGCCTGGGTAACAAGAGTGAAACTCCGTCTCAAAAATAAATAAATAAATAAAAAATTCTTATTTGGGCTGGGCATGGTGGCTCACACCTGTAATCCCAGCACTTTGGGAGGCTGAGGTGGGAGGACTGCCTGAGCCCAGGAGTTCAAAACCAGCCTGGGCAGCATGGTGAGACCCCATCTCTACAAAAAATACAAAAAATTAGCTGAGTATGGTGGCACACGCCTATAGTCCAAGCTACTCGGGAGGCTGAGCCAGTAGGATCACATTAGCCCAGGAAGTCAAGGCTGCAGTGAGTTGTGATTGCACCCCTGCACACTACCCTGGGTAACAGTGTAAGACCCTATTTCCAAAAAAACCCAAAATCCTTATTTGAAACAAATACTGAAATATATAATAGAAGAAATGGGTTCTCCTATAGTAAAGCTAGAATTTGCTTCAAAATAATCAGAGGAGTGGGAAAGGAAATGAGAAAAGCTATGGATAAAACAATTTTGGCCTTTCCCAAAACAGTAAGTTGATAACCGGAGCTAGGGACAGATACATAGGGTTCATTAAACTCTTCTACTTCTGTACCTTTTGTATATATTTCAAATTTTCCATGATAAAAACCCCCTACCTTGGCTCAAAGATCTACTTCCCATTTGGCAAATCCAAACTCAGCTCCATTGTTTTCAAATACCCTCCATACACAGTCAATGCAATTTATCACTTTTCCCTAACCTCTATCTTCCTTAGCATGTGAGTCTCTGGGTGCATACATGGTTCATTCCTCTCTTTGTCTTCGCTTGAATCATGTCTTCTAACCCCAGTGTCCTGCTTTCCTATCCAGTCTTTTTTATTTTTTTTAAACAAGGACCAAGTCAAGTCCTACCTTTTTCATAAGAGTTTACCACAAAAATAATTTTTAAAATTATACTTATAGGCCAGCATGGTGGCTCACACCTGTAATCCCAGCACTTTGGAAGGCCGAGGCAGGTGGATCACTAGGTCAGGAGTTCACGACCAGCCTGGCCAAGATGGTGAAACCCCATCTCTACTAAAAATACAAAAAAAATTAGCCAGGCATGGCAGACAACTGTAATCCTTGCTACTCAGGAGGCTGAGGCAGAGAATGGCTTAAACCTGGGATGCGGAGGTTTTGGTGGGCTGAGATCATGCCACTGCACTCCAGCCTGAGCAACAGAATAAGACTCAGTCCCCCCTGCCAAAAAAAATTACACTGATAAATCTTATTCTCCCAACATAGCTAAAAAAAAATATTTACCAGATGAAACCTATTCTGCTAAGTGCTAAACCACGCCCTTAGCTATTTCATGGTCATGGTCTCCTATGGCAGCAATGCTAGAACTCAAGTCACTTTTTTTCAAATAGGCAACATATGGACATGGTTCAGAATTCAAAAACAACATGAAGGATGTGAGGCAAAAGTCTCCCTCCTACACTGTTCCCAGTCTGACCTCCCCTTCCTAAAGGTAACTAGCCAGAGCTTTATCTCCCTCTATCCTCTAAAGCTAGGGCTTTCAAACGTTTTAACTACAATCCATTGTAAATGATCCTTTTCATATTACAACCTAGTTCTCTCTCACTCTCATACACACACTTAAATGTATTTATGTAACCAAAGTTTCATGAAATACTCTTACACTCAGGTAGTTTCTATTCTGCTCTATTTATTCCTTTTCTTTCTTTCTTTTTTTTTTTTAAAAGCTAACCATAATCCCTCAAATTAGTTTTGTTTTCTACTAATAGGTAGCAATCTGTGGCCTAAAAAGTACTGCTATAAAAATAGCACAGAAGTAAACACAGAGATCCCCCAGTAAAAAAAGAACCAAACATACTAAGTTGGCTGAAGTGAACCACTGGCTCAAATCTTACTTCAGGTGGTGCAAATAAAACTTGATGAGAATAAGAAAACTACACTGAAGAACACAGTCCATATAGCTCTAAATCAAACAGGAGAAACAAAGCTATTATAAGGTGAAATAGAACTAAAACCAGCAGCCACTGGCATCAATATGTATACTCTCAATGGAGATTTAGTTTTAAAAGACTGAAAAGAAAAACAAAATACCCCACTAAGCTGAAATAAATATTCTTTTCAAAGAAAGGTCATAGAATTTTAAAGAAGGCAGAGAGCATGACTCCAACCCTCCCATTTCTCCATCAAGGAAGCAGAAATTCAGAAAGGTTTCCAGTGCTCTACCCACTGTGGTGAAATGCTGACAGAAGGCACTCACAGAATGATGCTGAAACAGGCTAACACATCAGTGGCTATGATTCTTTCTTATAACTGTCTTTCAAACAAAAGGGAACCAATGGATTGCCACTACCTTGTCCTTGGGGATTTTCCAGGTATATCACCTACACCAGAATTCCCAAAATATGGTTCCCAGACCAGCAGCATCAGCCTCTCCGGAGAACTGTTCCTGGGTTATACCCCCTCCTCCCTAGCTCAGATAAAACACATCCCTTGAGAAAATTCCATAGCCTTGGGATATCATCTCTCGGATGAAGTAAAACTCACCTCATCAAATGACCTGTGTGGACGGATAACCATTTGGGATTCATATGATCTGACCCTGACAAATTCTGGAGACTCTGGCACACTCGGATGCTCCACAGCACTGGTAAGGAGGAAAGGAGAAGGCAAACTCTTAGTAATGTCTATATATAAAACAACAGGGGAGCTAAGTTAAGGGGAAGGCCTAAAAGGCTAGCTCTGATTTTTTAAAATAAACACAACAGAGGAGTCACTAAGATGAATAAATACAAACTAAGTTCTAAAAATGAAGTGAAGGAGCTGGGCACAGTGGCTCATGCCTGTAATCCCAGGACTTTGGGGGTCCAAGGAAGGTGGATCACCTGAGGTTGGGAGTTCAAGACCAGCCTGACAAACATAGAGAAACCCCGTCTCTACTAAAAATACAAAATTAGCTGAGCATGGTGGCACATGCCTGAAATCCCAGCTACTCGGGAGGCTGAGGCAGGAGAATCGCTTGAACCCGGGAGGCAGAGGTTGTGATGAGCTTAGATCACACCATTGCACTCCAGCCTGGGCAAGAAGAGCAAAACTTCATCTCAAAAAAAAAAAAAAAAGATGTGAAGGTCAGACGTGGTGGCTCATGCCTGCAATCCCAGAACTGGGAGGCCAAGACAGGAAGATCACTTAAGGCCAGGAGTCCAAGAACAGCCTGGACAACACTGTGAAACCCTGCCTCTACAAAAAATTAATTAATTAATTAAAAATGAAGTGAGTTCCTTTGGTAATTTATGGCTCACTATGCTGTGGGTCAAAAACAACAGCACTTCTTTTAACTACCAACGTTAAAGAACTCAAAAAAACACTTTAACTAAAAGCTTATATCTCTCCATTCTTCCTAGACAGTCAGAGCCCCCTCATCTTCCAGCTGGATGGATGGGGCACTGGCTGCAGAGAAGTCTGTGGGAGACTCACCAGGGCACTAAGAATATGCAAACTCAGGTATGCAGGAATGAAGAGCACAGCTAAAGGACTCAGCAAGAGCCACAGGCAACCATACATACCGTGACACCAACACCATCATGTTGTTTTCCTGATCCACATTATACCGCCGAACATAAACATAATCCCGTGAGTACATTGGATACTAAAGAAATGGAGGGACAGAATTAGTGGTCTGTATCACACAAAGTTGGAGAGAGATAGAAACAAAAGTAAAAATACTCACAGGAAAATGGGTTACCCAGTGAAGAACCTCAGAACCACTAACCACATCTCTCTCAATCACCTCCAGCTTGATCACCAGGGCATCCCACTTTTTTCTATACTCTGTGTCTAGCTGCAGAAAGAGAAAAGATCATGAAGACCCAAAACAAAAATGCAGAAGGCTTTCCAGATGCTCTGGTCTCTGACCCAAGAACCTTATTACAAGGAGATCGTAATCTGACCTAACAAACAGTGCTGAAGTGTGACTGTTTACTACAGATGATTCTTTCAACATCACTTTGTACAGGCTAATGTCATTACACTGAATGTGCATCTTAAAAAGACAAACCAAGGAAAAGTATAACAGAATGTATTTTAATAGGCACATCTGGGAAAAAACGATATATAGTCATATGAATATGTAAGGATAAGACAATTATAAAAGGTTTTTAAACAACGAAAGTCCAAAAGTATTAAGTAGACATGTCACACACAAAAATGCAAGTAGCATATTTTTTTAAATTTCTGGCATTGCTAGTAACTGAAGAATTTCAAATTAAGACAGATATACCACATACATAAAAACAATAAAAATTCACTGCAAATAAACAAAATCTAGTGCCTCAGGGGAAAGTGCATTTGCATATTTGAGTGATATTAGAGTGATTAGAGCATTATAGAGTGATTAGAGCAATATCGAGTATTCGCGATAACGAACTAATTATCAAAGTCTGGCAAAACAAATGAAAAATCCAGAAAGAAAAAATTTTTCTTCTAGAACTCTGGGTGATCCCACCTCTCTGATTCATTTTTTTAAACATCTTCCACCACAAGGAGGAAAGCAGTCTTTGAACAGATTCTCTTCATCTTCATGAAATAAATACTTGGCCAACATAGTAACTCACATCTGTAATCCCAGCACTTTGGGAGGCCAAGACAGGAGGATCACTTGAGCCCAAGAGTTCAAGACCAGCCTAGGAGGCATAGGGAGACCCTGTCTCTACGGGAAAAAAATTTAATTAGCCAAGTGTGGTGGCACATGCCTCTAAGCCTGGAAGCTGAGGTGGGAGGATCACTGAGTCCAGGAAGCAGAGGCTACAGTGAGCCATGATGACACCACTGCACTCCAGCCTGGGTGACACAGCAGGACCCTGTCTCAGGGAGGGCGGGGGGAAGCTTTCATTATGGAAATGTTCTGGATTTGAGGTTAAAGAGATGCAACAACTAAATATAATCCTGACTATGTCTGTACTAAAGGGAAAATGCTATAAAGAACATTACTGAGTGAAATCATAAAACCAGAATACAAACAGAAGACTACATGAAAGTGCTGCCTCAGTGTTAAATTTACTGATTTCAATAATGGTACCATGGTTAGTTAAGAAAATATGACTAGTTTTAAGAAATACACACTGGGCCAGGCGCGGTGGCTCAAGCTTATAATCCCAGCACTTTGGGAGGCCGAGGCGGGTGGATCACGAGGTCAAGAGATCGAGACCATCCTGGTCAACATGGTGAAACCCCGTCTCTACTAAAAATACAAAAAATTAGCTGGGCATGGTGGCACGTGCCTGTAATCCCAGGAGGCTGAGGCAGGTGAATTGCCTGAACCCAGGAGGCGGAGGTTGCGGTGAGCCGAGATCGCGCCATTGCACTCCAGCCTGGGTAACAAGAGCGAAACTCCGTCTCAAAAAAAAAAAAGGGCCGGGCGCGGTGGCTCAAGCCTGTAATCCCAGCACTTTGGGAGGCCGAGGCGGGTGGATCACGAGGTCAAGAGATCGAGACCATCCTGGTCAACATGGTGAAACCCCGTCTCTACTAAAAATACAAAAAATTAGCTGGGCATAGTGGCGCGTGCCTGTAATCCCAGCTACTCGGGAGGCTGAGGCAGGAGAATTGCCTGAACCCAGGAGGCGGAGGTTGCGGTGAGCCGAGATCGCGCCATTGCACTCCAGCCTGGGTAGTAAGAGCGAAACTCCGCCTCAAAAAAAAAAAAAAAAGAAATACACACTGGAAGAATTTAGGAACAAAGGGCTATGATGTATGTAACTTACTCTCAAGTTGTTTTGGAAAAAAAACAAGACAGCCTCATAAAATACATTAAAGTATTCATATCCATTCCTCTATCTGATCTTCCCAACAGTCCTGTGGGAGGGTAAAATGGATCTCACCACCATGGGACAGATAAAGAAATTCTAAGTCAAATGTTTACCTAAATGCTATGCAATGTGAGATGACAGGTAGATAGACGGATGTATTGAAGCCACTGTCATCTGAGTCAGAGAAATTATTCATGTAGTCGGTAGCAATTGTTATTCGAGGCGGCTCCAAATCTGGAGAGAAAAATTAACTCACCTGAACATTGAAGAACTGCCGAGGTGTCACATCTGTGTAGGTTCCAAAAACTAGAATGACAAGATAGAATAAGGGATGCTTGCCATACTCCAGTCACTTGTTTCTATCACTTAGCGATGTTTTAGTTCTCAAGTACTAAGAGATCTTAAAGGCAGGTTCAGAAACTAGAAGTCATATTAGAGCAACAAAGACAAAGATGATCTACAGCGAAGATGACATGAAACATTTGTCATCTGGGAGAAGTAAAACAACAAACAAAAAACCACGCCAAATTTTCTGAGAAACGACCAGTACAGTTTAGAGAAGTATGAGGAACAAAAATCCCGTGCACGTGGGCAACTATGGAACACAAAAGACAGCCACACTGTGCTCACCTCGGTACTGGTAGAGGTGGGTGCCTGTAATTGGGCGCCGCCACAGCTTAAAGTGTTTCTTATCCATCACCATTTCCCAAGGTTGCTCTTTGTCCTCCAAATCTTCATTCCCTTCTGTTTGGGCTTTTGGTTCTGGAGGGTGGCACTGGACTCCAGAGCTCTGAAACATATTTGACATTTCTTCTAACCGCTTCATCTCATTAATGGATCTGGAAAGGGGAAAAAGAGCCATGGTGAGGCGGTTAGTCAGCCTTATGAAATGAAGTGTCCACTGTGCCCAACCTTTTATTTTTTAAGAAACAAGGAGAGTCTTAAAAAAATAAGAGGCCTGTGCAAGAAGGTTATACAGTAAACCACAGTATGTAGTATATAAATGGGATGCAGTATAGTGAATTAAAATTGAGTTCCTGAGTTTGAATCTTAGTCCAACACTCATTAACTAGAATATTATTTAACCAGTTCCTATTTCTAAATCTATGAAAAGGAAATAATAGCACCTATCTCGAGGTTGGGTATAAAGATTACAAAGTGTCAAGCGCTTAATATCTCTGGCCAGGCAAAGCAGCTCACGTCTGTAGTCCCAGCACTTTGGGAGAATGAGGCAGGAGGATTGCTTGAGGCCAGGTTCGAGACCAGCCCAGAAAACACAGTGAGGCCTTAGCTTTAAGAAAAAATTTAAAAAATCAGCCAGGTGTAATGGCATGTGCCTGTAGTCCCAGCTACAGGCTGGGGTGGGAAGATCACTCGAGCCCAGGAGTTTGAGGCTGTGGTGAGTGACAATTGTGCCACTGTACTCCAGTCTAGGCACAGAGTAAGAATCTGTCTCTTAAAAAATAAAAGACTGGGCACAGTGGCTCATACCTGTAATCCCAGCACTTCAGGAGATCAGGGTGTGAGGATCACCTGAGATCAGGAGTTCAAGACTAGCCTGGACTCATGGTGAAATCCCACCTCTACCAAAAATACAAAAATTAGCTGGACATGGCAGTGGGTGCCTGTAATCCCAGCTACTTGGGAGGTTAAGGCAGGAGAATCACTTGAACCCAGGAGGCGGAGATTGCAGTGAGCCGAGATTGCACCATTGCTCTCCAGCCTGGGCAACAGAGTGAGACTCCATTTCTAAAATAAATAAATAAAGTAAAATAATTATCTGGCACATAAGTAGCCCTCAAATGCTAACTATGAAGGTTTACGGCTTTAAAATGTCAATTGATATCTTTTGTTCATTTTTTATTGGGTTGTCTTATTATTAAGTAAACATATTTTCCCCCTTGTTTTTAAATGATAAATTCACATACCATAAGATTCATTCGTTTACAATGTATAAATCAGTACTTGTTAGTGTATAACACAAGGTTGTACAACCATCACCCCTATCTAATTCCAGAACATTTTTATCACCCCCCAAAAGAAACCTCTACCCATCATTACTCACTTCCCATTCCTGCCTCCCTCCAGCCCTAGGCAGCTACTAATCTACTTTCTGTCTCTATGGAGTTGCCAATTCTGGACATTTCAAATAAATGGAATCATATGATACGTATCATATATATATGTAACCAGCCTGGCCAACATGGCGAAACCCCATCTCTACTAAAAATACAAAAATTAGCCAGGTGTGATGGCGGGAGCCTGTAATTCTAGCTACTTGGGAGGCTGAGGCAGGAGAATTGCTTGAGCCCTGGGAGGCGGAGGATGCAACGAGCTGAGATGGTGCCACTTCATTCCAGTCTGGACAAAAGAGCAAAACTGTCTCAAAAAAAAAAAAAAATGCTGTAGACATTTGTGTACAAGCCTTCATACAGACATGTTCTCAATTCTCTTGGGTAGATTCCTAGGAGCAGATTTGCTGGGTCACTTAACTTTTTAAGCAATTGCCAAACTGTTTTCCAAACAATTGTACCATTTTATATTCACATCAGCAATGTCTGAGGATTCCAAATGCTCCACATCCTTGGTTCTACTTGCCCCACTTATTATTGTCCATCTTTTTAATTTCAGCCATCTTAGTGGGTGTGCAATGTTATCTCATTGTTCTTGATTGGTATTTCCCTAACCTTTTCATGTGCTTATCCTATTCTTGATAGTATCTTTTGATGCACAAAAGTTTTAATTCTGATGAAGTCTATTTTTTCTTTGATTGCTTATGTTTTTGCTGTTATATCTAAGAAACCACTGCCCAATCCAAGGTCACAAGAACTTTTGCCTATATTTTCTCCTAAGAGTTTTTTATAACTTTAGCTTACATTAGGTCTTTACCTCATTTTGAGTTAATGTTTGTGTATGGTAATGAGGTAGGAGTCTAAATTCATTCTTTTGCATGTGCTTCTCCAGGTGACCCAGTGCCATTTGTTGAAAAGACTTCCTTCCCCAGTGAATTGTCCTGGCACCACTGTTGAAAACTGACCAAAAATTTTAGGATTTATTTCTAGACTCTCAATTTTATTCTAACAATCTAGATGTCTATCCTTATGCCAGTATCACAGTGTCATTACTGTAGCTTTGTAATAATAAGTTTGAAATTGGGTACCATGAGTCCTCCAAACTTTGTTCTCTTTTATCAAGACTGTTTTGGCTATTCTGAGTTCCTTTCGTTTCCACATGAGTATCAGAATTGGCTTGCCAATTTCTGCAAAACTGCCTAGGATTTTGATAAGGACTACAATGAATTTGTAGATCACTTACATGGTACTGCCATCTTAGCAATATTAAGTGTTCTAATCCATGAGGACAGGATGTCTTTCCATTTATTTGTCTTTTTAAATTTTTTCCAGTGATGTTTTGTTGTAGTGTCACACTTTTAGTCATACACTTCTGTTTAATTTATTCCTATGTATTTATTCCTTTTGATGCTACTGTAAATAAGACTGTTTTATTAATTTTATTTTCAGATTGTTCTCATTACTAGTGTATATAAATATGACTTCTGTGATAAAACCTAATTCCTTGTCTGAAGAATTAAAAACAATAAATAAATAAATATGACTTCTGTGTACTGATTGATCTTATATCCCGCAAACTTGCTGAACTCATTTGTCAGCTCTAACAGTTTTCTGTGGATTCCTCAGTATTTTCATATGTAAGATCATGTCAGCTGCAAATAGAGAGTTTTATTTTTTCCTTTCCAATCTAAATGACTTTCATTTACTTCTCTTGCATAATTTCATTGGTTGTGACCTCCAGTACAATGTTGAACAGAAGAGGTGAGAGCAGAATCCTCATCTTGTTCCTGATCTTAGGGAAAAAGCATTCAGTCTTTCACTATTAACTACACTATTAGCTATGTTTTTTGTAGATGCCTTTTTTTCGCTCTGTCACCCAGGCTGGAGTACAGTGGTGTGATCTTGTCTCACTGCAACCTCCACCTTCTGGGTTCAAGTGATTCTTCTGCCTCAGCCTCCCAAATAGCTGAGACTACAGGCATGCACCACCATGCCCAGCTAATTTTTGTATTTTTAGTAGAGATGGGGTTTCACCATATTGGCCAGGTTGGTCTTGAACTCCTGACCTTGTGATCCACCCACCTCGGCCCAAAGTGCTGGGATTATAGGCATCAGCCACCGCACACCGCCTATAGATGCCTTTTACCGGCTGAAATAAATTTCCTTCTATTCCCAGTCTGCTGTTTTCTTTTTTCTTTTCTTTCTTTTGTTTTGAGATAGAGCCTCGAATGGTTGCTCAAGCTGTAGTGCAGGGGCATGATCTGGGCTCACTGCAATCTCTGACTCCTGGGTTCAAGCAATTCTGCCTCAGCCTCCCAAGTAGCTGGGATTACAGGCATGCGTCACCACGCCCAGCTAATTTTTTAAATATTTTTAGTAGAGACAGGATTTCACCATGCTGGCCAGGATGGTCTAGATCTCCTGACTTCAGCCTCCTCCTGATCCACCCACCTCAGCCTCCCAAAGTGTAGGGATTACAGGTGTAAGCCACTGCTCCCGGCCATGTTTTCTTTTTTATCACAAAAGGAGGCTAGAATTTGTTGAATACCTTTTGTGTTTATTCAGATGATCATGTAGTTTTTGTCCTTTATTCTATTAATGTGGTGTATTAAACTGATTTTTGTATGAAGAACCAACCTTGCATCCCTTAGATAAATCCAACTTTTCATGGCATATAATCCATTTCATACGTTCCTAAATTCAGTTCGTTAGTATTTTGTTCAGGACTGCAAAAAGTTGTGTGGTTTTTTTGTTTGTTTTGAGCCCAGGCTGGAGTGCAATGGCATAATCACAGCTCACTGCAGCCTTGACATCCCAAGCTCAGGTGATTCTCCCACTAAAGCTTCCCAAGTAGCTGGAATTACAGACATGTGCCACCACACGCAGCTAATTTGTTTTTTGTATTTTTAGTAGAGATGGGGTGGAACCATGTTGCCCAGGCTGGTATTGAACTCCTGGGCTCAAATGATGCACTCACTAACCTGGGCCTCCCAAAGTGCTGGGATTATAGGTGTTCACAGGCTGCAAAAAGTTTTAAAACATGAAAAACAATACCATATACTGTACTATGTATCACTATGTATCATTCAGGGCTATATACATATGTATAAAAACAGGCCAGGTGCAGTGGCTCATGCCTGTGATCCCAGCAGTTTGGGAGACCAAAGTGGACGGATCACGAGATCAGGAGATCGAGACCATTCTGGCTAATATGGTGAAACTCTGTCTCTACTAAAAATACAAAAAATTAGCCGGGCGTGGTGGCACATACCTGTAGTCTCAGCTACTCGGGAGGCTGAGGTAGGAGAACTGCTTGAACCAAGGAGGCAGAGGTTGCAGTAAGCTGAGATCATACCACTGCCCTCCAGCCTGAGTGCAGGGTGACAGAGTGATACTTCGTCTCAAAAATTAAAAAAAGGGAATTATATACAACAAATAGGGATAATGGTGACACCTTGGAGAAAAAGAAGAATACAACTGGAAAAAGGTACAGAAGAAGCCTAAGTATATTTTAATACCTTATTTCTTAAAATAGCTGTATTTGTAATACTGATGTTATTCTTTAAACCTTTTTTATATATCTGAAACATTCTGTAATAATAATTTTTTTATTTGGCTTATATTTTCCCTATAACCTCTTTTTTTCTGAGACAAAGTCTCACTATGTTGCCAAAACTGGCCTCAAACTCCTGGACTTAGAAATCCTTTCACTTCAGCCTCTCAAGTAGCTGGGACTGTAGGCCTGTGCTACCATACCCAGCTTCTCC